CATGACCACTGGAAAAACCATAGCTTTGACTAGATGGACCTTTGTTGGCAGAGTAATGTTTCTGCTTTTTAATATGCTATCTATGTTAGTCATAGCTTTTCTTCCAAGGAGCAAGCATCTTTTAATTTCATGGCTGCAGTCACCATCTACAGTGATTTTGGAGAAAAAAAGTCTGTCATTGTTTCCATTGTTTCCCAATCTATTTGCCATGAAGTGCTGGGACCAGATGCCATGATCTTAGTTTTCTGAATGTTGAGCTTTAAGCTAACTTTTTCACTCTCCTCTTTCACCTTCATCAAGAGGCACTTTAGTTCTTCTTCGCTTTCTACCATAAGGGTGGTGTCATCTGCATATCTGAGGTTATTGATATTTCTCCCAGCAATCTTGATTCAAACTTATGCTTCATCCAGCCTGGCATTTTGCATGATGTGCTCTGCATTATAAGTTAAATAAGCAGGGTGACAATATACAGCCTTGATGTACTTCTTTCCTGATTTGGAACCAGTCTGTTGTTCCATGTCCAGTTCTGTTTTATATCCTGTCTTTAGGCAAAAAAGGGAGGGAACTTTTTCTGGGTTTGCTGCTTCTCAATTACCTTCAGCTCAAAATAAGTTTTATGTCAAAGAAGCATACCTATTTTGTGGTGACATATTCTGGTTTCCTTCACATTTACATCAACCATCACCTCAAACTCAGCAGGTCCCAAACTTGATTCTTTATGTTCCTCAACTGATTCATTTCTCCCAGTGCTCCTGTTTCTATGACCGCATCCACTATTTTTCAAATCTGATGTGTGACATCCCTGAGGTCACCTTTAAGCCATCCCCTTTTCATCCCATGCTGAGTCCCACCAACTCTGGTTTGTTTCTTTCAACCCTCTGTCTGACCTCTGTCCTCATGTTAGGACTATTTCATTTGTAAGTGAAAAAACCCCAACCCTACCTGGCTCAAGGACCCAAAGGAATATACGGGCTCACATATATGAAAAGTAAGACATTTTCAGGAATTGTCTTTCTCCACCTCTTGGTTCTGGTTTTTTTTTTTTTTTTTTTTTTTTTTGCATTGTTTTCATTGCCAGACAAGCTTTTCTCCTGAGCATCAAATATGGAAGGTGGATACTTCATGCTCCCTAGATGGTTAAGGAAATTCCTATTCATTCCTATTCCATTTCTACCATTAAAATTGAGCTTCATTGGCCTGCTTTTTGCTTTTAATGCTAAATCATGAAATTCCAGAGCCTGACCTTCAAAAAAAAAAAAAAAAAAAGGAATGAAGATGTTCTATCTCCAAAGAAGAAGAAAGACGCTCTGTATTTACAATTTGTTTTTAAAAAGATCTGATTTAATGGGACATTAAATTGATAGCATTCATTAGAATATCAAACTTGTCTTTCTAGACAATAGAGACTTCTGTAGAAGTGTTATCAATTTGTTCTGTTTGTTGTTTTTGGAAGAATAATTTGAACAAAGAGGTCTAGTAAATCTGCTAAGACTTTTAAAAAAAATGTTGCAAGTCATGAAAATAACCTTCAAAGAGTAACCTGTATCTCTGATTTGTTGTTTTACTTTATAGCGAGTTGGCCTGGTAATAATGTTGAAATTGCCACCTCTGCATTTCTGAAACCATGCAAACTCTCACAGATACTCCAGGCTTCATGAGCCATGTGGTCCCTGTCACCAGCATTCAACTCTACCCTTTAGCACCAGAGCAGTCAGTGAGCACATGGTTGTGACTATATTCCAATACCACTCTATTTAGGGACATAAAATTTCAATTTCATATAATTGCCATGTGTCATGAAATACTCTTTTGATTTTTCAACTATTTAAAAATATATAAACCTTCCTTATCCCTCACTTGCACTGAGTACTCTGTCTAGAACTGTCTTAACCCTATGTATTCATGTGGCTAACTCCCTTACTTTCTTAGGTTTCTACATTTTACCTTTTTTTTTTTTCTCATATTTATTTATTTGGTTACACCAGGTCTTAGCTGTGGTACTCAGGATCTTTAGTTGTGGCATGCGAACTCTTGGTTGGGATGTGTGTGATCTATTTCCCTGACCAGGGATCAAACCCAGGGCCCCTACATTGGAAGCATAGAGTCCTAGCCACTGGACCACCAGGAAAGTCCCTACATTTTACCTTCTCTGTGAGGCCTAACCTGACCATCCTCTTGAAAACTGCTACCTGCATTGTTTCCCACTGCCTCCGCCATCCCCATCTCCCCTCCTTATTCCCCTTATCTTGTTATGAGTTCCCCATAGGATTCATCACCTCCTAAAACATGAAATAACTTACTTATTTATAATTATATGGTTCATCTTCCCTTGCCAGATGGCAGGCTCTCAGAGAGCAGAGGTTCTTGTGTGAAAGTGCCTAGAAGACTGCCTGGCACACAGGCAAGATTGAATAACTTTGTTGAATAATTAAATAGATGGATTAATGACCTATCAACCCATTGGCCAATTATTAGATTAAGGTTCAGGTCATTTGATTAAAAAAAATAGTCAATTTCTTCTTCTTGATGTACATAAAGGACTTAGTCTTCAGAAATGGAATTGTCCAAGATTCACTTCGTGTTGGACACTATAGGCCAAGGGACTCCTTCAAATGCAGGGGGAAGAAAAGACAAATGGTTTGTAAATAAAGAAGTTGAATGCTTATAACTTCTATACTTCTTTTCCACAATTAGTTTTAGCCCCTGCTCGAGTCTGGTGGTTCCTGCAGCATTGTGTGTGTCTGAATCCTCTTCCAACCTTCTCACACCTGGGGGTGATGACCAGGGAGTTTCAGGTGGCTGATAACTTTGGGCCTGAAATAGAGAGACGTGGTCAGGAGCAAAAAACTTCACTTTTTGCACTAAGGAATCATTCCAAAAAGCAAAAATTAAAAGCTGCTCTTCCCCACTTTTTAAAGAAATGCATTATCTGCAGTTGCATTAAGCATTCCTTTATTATTTTCCCTTTGTTTATGGGTTCTGGTCATTTTTCTTAATTTTTGGCTGGTACCTCATTGATTATACAATTAGTATACACCACAGTATGTGACTAGGGCTGCAGCTCTGATAAAATTTTGTTGGAGGCAAAACACTTGGAGCTGATTTTCCTGATTTACTCAGTAATCATCTTATTTGGAAAATATAGATTTTCTCACAGTTCCTCCTTAAAGCTGTAGTCTGACCTGATAGCACACTTTGCACTTCTCAAAATGTATCACTTTATAACTAGATCATAAGCATTTATTTACATGCCTATTTTTGCTTTTATACTTGAACTTCCTGAAAATATCTAACTCATTTGTATGCCCCACAAATGCTAACACAGTGTTTATAATCTGTTGAAATGAAATTTATTTAATTGGCTTACCCCCCAAGAACTTCAATAGTTCCCAGTAGCATGGCATGAAAGATCCTTCTTGATCAGGTCCTTGTCTCTGTCCAAGTCTCATCAGCTGTCATTCTGTCCTACCCTCCAGCTCCCATAAGTTCTAGCCCCCCAGGCCATGCCTTGCCTTTATATATCCTCTTCCCTCAAGACAAGTTACCCTTTTGACTGCATGGTGAACTCACCACCTTCAAGTCATAATTTAAGCTTGTTTGTCTGTTTATTGCTTTTCTTCCCTCTAGGGCTTATAAACTTCATGAAAGTAGAGGCTTGGTCTCTCTGGCTCACTGTTGTCTGTCCCATATCTGAAAGCAGATGGGGACTGAATCAGGAAGGATCTTAAATATGATAAGAAGTTTTGATTATTGCTAGAAGGCAATGAGGACCCACTGAAAGATACTAAGCATTAAACTGTTATGGACAGGTTTTTGTTTTAGGCGGTTATTGTTTTAGAAAATCACTATCATTGCTGTGTGGGCGAGTGAGCTGGAGAAGGCAAGACTGGCTCTAAGAAATCAGATAATTAGAGCAAGCAAAAATTATGAAGGCCTGATTTGAGGTAGCAACAGTGAGGTTGGGAGGAGGTGAGGAATTTGAGAGGCAGAACAGCAGGAATCAATGAACTATTGGATGTTGTAACTGCAGTCAGAGGGAGTAAAGGGTAAGTCCAGGTTTCTGGCTTCAAAATTTCGTGGTTGCTAGTCATGTCAGGAACTATCACGTAGTATTACAGTTGTACAGTCCATGGAATTTTCCAGGCAAGAATACTGGAGTGGGTTGCCATTTTCTTCTTCAGGGGATCTTCCCAACCCAGGGATCGAACACACGTCTCCTGCATTGGCAGGCGGGTTCTTTTACCACTAGTGCCACCTGGGAAGCCGAAGGAGTCATAAAGTGGTGGTTTACTCGCTCGCAAAGGCGTGTCTGACTCTTGGGACGCCATGGACTGTAGCCCGCCAGACTCCTCTGACCATGGGGTTCTCCAGGCAAGAATACTGGAGTGGGTTGCCATTTCCTTCTCCAGGGTATCTTCCCAATCCAGGAATCAAACCCGGGTCTCCTCCATGGCAGGCAGATTCTTTACCTATTGAGCCAGGAGGGAAGCCCGAGTCATAAAGGGACCTTGCTAAAAGTCTGCATTAGCCTTGCTAGAAGAGCACCTATTATGTTGGAGGCATATAATTGAATGAATGAATGAATGAATACACTGAAAATACTAAACAGTTTCTTTGGTCCAATAAGAGTTATGGCCGATAGCAGAAATTCTAGGGATACTGTTCTCTGCGTGCTGTTATCAAAACGGCGAAGAAAGCAAGCGGTAACTGGGTTTCTCAGTTGCTCTCTGTCTATTGTACAACTAGAAAGCTGACAATAAAGTTTATTTAAGCGTCGACGTGCCCCGACGTGGCCCCGCCTCCCCAGCCAGAGCCGCGATTGGTGGGCATTGTCCGGCGGCTGCCGTTCCTAAGCCACAATTGGCTAAGGCCGCCGTCATTTCGGAGCTCCCGGCGCCCGCCCGCCTTCTCGCCGCGTCGCCCGTGTCTGCGCCGCCTGCTCCTCGTAGCCTCGCCTCTCCCGGCCGCATCCCGGGGGACCGGAGCGAGCAGCCGGGACCATGTTCCGACGCAAGTTGACGGCCCTTGACTACCACAACCCTGCCGGCTTCAACTGCAAAGGTGAGGAGACGGCCCCGGGCCCGCAGCGCGTCCGTGACCCGCCGGCCGCCGCTCAGCGCACGCTCCTGGGCTCTCCACCCGGACCGTCCGCGGCCTTGTCTCCCCGGCGCCCCTCTCCTCCCGGCCCCAAACACCTCTGTTTTCCCCCATCCTTCCTTCTCCGCTACCCACTCTTGCCTCGGCATCGCCACTTTCTGCACTTGCTGAACTCCAGACACCAACCCCCACAGCCTTCGCCCGCACCCTCAGCACTCTAGAAGGAGAGTCTTCGCTTTTTAACTTAGCCCTTCAGCCCCATGTTTCACGGGTGATTGGGCGATATCCTGAGCACCTGCTGGGGGTCGGCACAGTGCTGGAATCCAAGGAAGATGCTAAGTAACTTGAAGACTCGTTCCGGGAACTAAGGAGGGGAGAGGGTAGGAGTAGGGGCAGAACCCATTCAGCACTTTGAGCCCAAGATAAAATGAAGTCCAAGACTGACAGTGTTGGGGTGAGCGCGTGTATTAACGAGCTAATTAACAGTGTTGGGGTTGGGGGGGTAGTTAATAGATGAGCGGGGCGGTTGAATTGTAAATATAAAGGTATTTGGGATTTCACAGGTTGAAACTGTAGAAAGTATTAAGATTGCTACTCACATGCCGCCCACCACTACTCATTTTCTTCCAGAATTCTTGGCCTGTGGTAGATTAAGTTTTAAAGGGATCAAGTAAGACCCGGTATATTAAAACCATTGTGTATTTCTCAAGACTTGGGGAAGCCTGAATTTGAACTCAAGCTTGAACTTGGAAATTGAAGATGATTCCCAAGCAGGATGACAGTGTTTTGTCATCTCCTGTAGAAGCATATCAACTTACAGAATCTTGTTTTTCTATTTTGCCTTTTATTTAACAAAAAAAGTTCAGTAGGAATAAAGCTTAGATCTGGATTTGAAACTTTGAGCCTCAACTTTTTCACTGGTAAAATGGGGATATTACTTACCTCAAAAGCATAGGGAGGGTTAAATGAAACAACATACACACTATTTCATGAATGTGTTTAATGTCTTTATTGCAAATGACAGTGATAGTCGGTATCCTTGTTCAGATTGCCATTTAATTTCTTGTACTTTATTGTTGCTATTAATTTAACCTTGCTTAGTCCTTTCTCCCCCTCTTCCTCATAGGAACTGAAATAATAACTGACACTTAAGTAGCAAAATTGTGTGCCAGGCACTGTTTTTATTCTTACTATATTTAATCTTTCATAACAAACCTATGAAGTAAATACCTATTTTGTAACTCAAAAATCTGAGGCACAGAAAATTTAGGTAATTAGCCCAGGTTCACACAACCACTAAATTTCTGGAGCCAGAATTTGAATTCAGGCCAGGATATGAACAGAAGTTAATCCAAAGTCTGTACATTCAACTCCTACTTCAAGCAGCTCAAGTAACTTATGATTTTGCAGTTAAAAAAAAATTGCACAAGACTATTTGTGGAGATGGAAGTGTTTTAGCTAGTGCTTCTCATGGGCTTCCCTTGTGGCTCAGCTGGTAAAGAATCTGCTTACAGTGCGGGAGACCTGGGTTCGACCCTTGGGTTGGGAAGATCCCCTGGAGAAGGGAAAGGCTACCCACTCCAGTATTTTGACCTGGAGAATTCCATAGACTGTATAGTTCATGGGGTGGCAAACAGTTGGACACGACTGAGTGACTTTCACTTTCTTGTGATTTATATGGTGTTTTTATTACAGATGAAACAGAATTTAGAAACTTCATTGTTTGGCTTGAAGACCAGAAAATCAGACACTATAAAATTGAAGACAGAGGTAATTTAAGAAACATCCACAGCAGTGACTGGCCCAAGTTCTTTGAAAAGGTAATGAATTAGAAAGTAAAACGTACTGAGAGCTTCTCTATGAAGACAGCTTTTAAAATAATATAATTTTTCTTTTAAAATAATATAGCTGGATAAAACATCCACCCAAACGTATTTGCAGGGCAGGAAGAGAGATGCAGACTTAGAAAACACACTTCTGAATACAGCAGGGGAAAGAGAGGGTGGGACAGATTGGAAGGTTAGGATTGATGTATATACACTACCATGTGTAAAGTAGATAGTGGGAAGTCAGTGTGTATAGTGTAGGGAGCTCGACTCAGTGCTCTGTGATGACCTAGATGGGTGATGAGTGGAGTGGTGGGTCGGGTAGGAGGGAGGTCTACACACACACATACATACACACACACAACGAAGTCATTGTACAGCAGAAACTAATACAACAATGTAAAGCGATTATACCCCAAACAATGATAACAATAATCAGTGTTAGAAAAGCTGGATTTCAGGGGTATAACTTTTTTCTTACCATATTTGTAAAGCATACTGTCTATTCCTACCAAGCATTCAGTATTAGATAGAAATAGTATGGTGAATCATCAGGCATGAGAGTGGGGGCAGGGGTATAGGGGATAAAGAGTTTGAACTTGATCCAACTAGGAAGCTCTGTCAGTTTTAGGTGATATGACTAGACTAGTGTTGCCACTCCTCAGCTTTCCCAGCCAATGCCTGGCTTCTTGAAACTGTCAGCATTAAGCTAATGTATCTGGAGAGCAGGCCCTTATCCCCAGTACTTAGATGAGTGCCTGACATTCAACAGAAAGACCTGTTTCTTTCATGAAAATATATATTTATGAGTGTGTATTTATATATATATATGTTATGAACATAAATGAGTGAATGATATGTCAGTATTCATTTCTGCATTTTCCCTATAGCAAAATTTATTCAAATCTTCTAGGGCCCTGTACCTGACTAGCAGGCTGCCCATTGGAAACTAGCTTTATAGAATATTAACTAATAAAAGTAATGGCACAGTTAGTCACTCAAAGAAAAGAAATAGTTTAGTCCAAAAAACATGGAGACTTCTTAATTAAACAGTGACACATATTATATAAATAGTAAAAATGGCCAAAATCATATTTTTTACATTACATTAAAAATGTAGCAGAAATACTATTATATTAAAATAAGACATTATTGACATGTCTTATTGATTGAAAACTAAGGTTGTCTCTTGTGTTTGCTTATATTTATCATACACAGTTGTCCTCTGTTGTGTACAATAGAAATAATACTTTTAAAAAAAAAACAGTATTATTTTTTGTGGCTGGAATAACTTTTTCATTGACCTAGTTTAATTTTAGTAACATTTTTGCAGAAAACAGTTTTTTCAAGTTAGAATAAAAATTACATTTTACAGCATCATCATAGTAAACATTTTTATCAGCTCTATTACTTTGATGAGATCTTTTCCTTTAAGAATTTGAAAATGATTTAATTTTTCATTGACTGGAACAGAATGTTTAGGTAGCTAACTTTCTCCTTTTGTGTACTAGGGAATTGTGTAAGTTACATACTGTCTCTATGACAATGAGTAAGTTTATTAACCTTTCTGTGGCTCGAGATTTTTATCAATAAATGGGGATAACAGTGGTATCTTATCTCAGGAGTATCATATTATTAATGAAGTATTCCTATGAGCCTGTCACAGAGGTGCCTGGCCCATCGAAGTGCTATATGTTTGTTAATTTTCCTGCTTCTGCTACTGATATTGGTACCACTAGATCATTTTCCTTTACCCTTCAAAAGTATATTTTGAAAATTTTGACTTCTTAAAAGACTTCTTAAAACTTTGAAATACATTATTAGAATTTTATATTTTCTTTTATCACATTTTACTTAATGGTCTACTCGTGTACAAGACAATACAGAGTTCCACATGTCGGAGGGTGTTGAAGAATAATAAACTTTCCAGTGAAAAAGACCCAGAAATGACAGTAAAGTAGTATAACCTAAAGATAAATATATTGGAACTTACACAGATACTGTCCTTAAGGTGGTCTCTTTGGAATGATGATGTCATTGCTTAAAGCATATTTAGAACTTCTTTTGAAATTACTTTTACATCAGGAGACATATTTTGAATATTGGCAGTTTTTTATACTTTGAAGGTGGGTTTGCTCTTTGTATCATGACTAAATCTTGTGAATGAGGTGCTTTTTTTTTAAAGCAGGTGAAGAAAATTTTTGGTTAGAAAATAAGTTATGGTTAAAAAGTGTTGATTCATTAGGTATCCCCAAAAGGATTTCCAGAAGGTTTGAGTTATAGCATTGTTGTGGGATTAGATTTTAAGCTCCTGAGAGATTTACTTTAAGGACATGCTTATTTGAATATATCGCATCTGATGTTTATTCAAAATACCTGTGTGTCACATACCTTACTCTGTTGGAAGCATTCCAAAATATGAAAGCTAAGGTTTAGATAATAATTGGGTTTTGTTATTTGATACATGTTTTTATTTAACTACTCTGGGTATTGAGACCTGGAATCATATGGTTTAGATTCAGGTCCCTGATTTAAGTTGTGTAACTGACAGGAAGTGTTGACCTATAGGCTTTGGTTTTCTCATCTACAAAATGAAGTTATTGTAGATCAGTGATGCCCTGTCTGGAATCTGCAAAAGTAAAACTTTCATAAAGTATGATGGGAGTACTTAATTTTTTTCCTAAGTAGTATATGCTTAAATGGATTATATAATTGCATCAAAGGTTTAGTAATATAAATGTTACAAGAAATTCTTAAGAGATTCAAACTCAAGTCTCTTAATTCCACCATGTTTTATTTGTGATTTTATAGTAAAAATGAAGCAATTTTCTTTTTCCTTCACAGTATCTCAGAGATGTTAACTGTCCTTTCAAGATTCAAGATCGACAGGAAGCAATCGACTGGCTTCTTGGCTTAGCTGTTAGACTTGAATACGGAGATAATGGTACGTTTTGTGGGGAATATATTGTAAAGAGAGGGAGAGAAAGGGTGGGAAAGGAGGGTAGAAATGTAGGGAACTTGCCCGTTTGTCTTAGATTGTTTTACCTTTGATTGGTTTTAATTTTTGTACATCCTCATCTCACTTTGCAGTATCTGATTAAAATTTTACTTTTTGTTTGTAGTCATTCTAGATTTTCTTTTTTAGAATTTGAAGGTGATGTCCTCTCACAAAGTCACATCACTTCAGTGAATTTGCCATCTTGGCACAGTCTGCACCTTAGCCTTTCAAGTTCACTTGTTGCTACTGTCCCAGAATTGATAGGATTTCAAGTCTTGGTTGCAGCAGCCATTTTCACTAAAGACTGAAATATACATCTAATGCATATATGCACTATAAGCCAAAATATATTTATCATTCATGTTTAACATTATTTTATTACAGATACTTAAATCATTGGAAGATTTTGAATATTTGTGCTTATCGTGAAAATAGTTTCCAATAAACCATTTTTCTCTCATTTGGCCATTTCACTTTGAAAGGCCTGCTAACATCTAAATGTAAGATCTGATTCTCTTAATCTCCATCCTCTGCATTTATGTTGTTCTCTTTCTTGCGACCATCAGTTCCAGTCTTCATCATTTGCTTTTGAAGCCTTCTTAATGCCTTTTGTTGTTTAGTCTCTTAAGTCATGTCTGACTCTTCGGGAATCCATGGACTGTAGCCCTCCAGCCTCCTCTGTCCATGGATTTTCCTAGGCAAGAATACTGGAGTAGGTTGCCATTTCTCACTCCAGGTTTAGTTTTAGTGTCTTTGGCCCCTCATTTCTTCCCATCCTGTCCCCATCCATCTTTTCCTTTGTCTGTTGTATCTTTCCTTCTCCATGGCCACTACTGTCACCCTAACTCTAGCTCTTGTCCCTTTCTCCTGAGATGATCATAACACCTTTCATAGTAGTCTCCCATCTGTGTCACCCTCTGTTTTCATCCACATGGCCCCCACCAAGCTAATTTTTTGAAACATAAATGTTTTAGGATGCTACACTTTGTCTCCAAAGAATAGTTCCTTTTATATATTCACAAACACCATTGCTTTCCCATTTTCTACAAAAGGAATTTCAGGCTCCTTACCATGATATTCAAAGCCTTTAAACTAGTATTCATATACTTGCCACCCCAGCCAAACTAGAGTAATGCTGTTTCCTCTTTCCATCTCCTTTCCCCCCCTTCTTTCTTTTCTTTCACTTTTCCCTTGACTGATATGCCATTTCAATCTATCTCTTCACTTATAAATCCTGTCTGTCCTTGTAAGATCCAGCTCAAATGCCAGCTAGCAGCAGCGATACTTCCTTCTTAACTTTCATAACTTTTACCTCAGTACCTTTTTAGATCATTTGCACTTTCCATTTTGCTTGTCTTCCTTGCCTCACTAAATTGTAGGCTGATACTCAGCTTTGTTTTCTACATGGTACCTCTGTTAATTTCCTGTTGCTGCTGTAACATATTGCCATAAACTCAATGTCTTACAGTTTTGGAGGTCAGAAGTCCAACACCTGTATCAGGACTGAAGTCAGTTTGTCGACAGGGTTGGTTGGTTTTGGAGGCTCTAGGGGAGGATTCATTTCTTTGTCTTCTGGAGGCTGCCTGCTTTCCTTGACTCTCTTCCCTTTAGCTTCAAATCTAGCCACATAGCAAGTTCTAATCTCTGTAATTCTGCTTTTCATTGTCAAGTCTTCTCTGACTCTGACCTTCCTGCCTCCCTCATCTAAGGATGCTGTGATTCCATTGTGCCCACCTAGATAATCCAGGGTAACCTGCCACCCCCCCATTTCAAGGTCCTTAATTTAGTCACACCCACAGAGTTCCTTTTGCCATGTAAGATACCATATTCATAACTTCTAGGGATTGCAGTATGGCCACCTTTTGCGGGGAGGGAACAGTCATGATTCTCTCTGCCACAGTGCCTGACGTAGTTTCTTGTGTACAGTAGATGTGCTTATCAATTTTAATAAATCCTTGGTAAGTGCAATATATGAATGTAAGTACAGTTATTTCTCAGTGATAGCATGGTTTCCTTTAATGTATAAAAAAGCTGAATTTACATCTGAAACACTGCCCCTTATCAGTAGGAGGCACTGTTGTTCTCATGCCTTTACATTGATGAAATTTTTATTTTTGATAAATTATTAATTTTTATTATTTATTCCTTAATATTTTATAAAGCCTTTAGCTTGCTTGTCAATTAAGGTGATTAAAAGCTGACTTAAGTTCTTTTGACTTCTTTGACAATTTCAAATTTACAGAAATGTTGCAGGAATAATAAAAAGAATTATTACATACTCAAATTCTGCAGGTGTTATTAACATTTTACTTCATTTGCCTAAACCTTTTCTGTGTATTCACATACTTCTAATTTTTTTCTAAACCATCTGACACTAAATTGTAGATGATTTTTCTTTTACTCTTAAGCACTTAAATGCACATTTCCTAAAAGAAAAAAAAAGTCATTGTCTTACATAGCTACAGTATGCTTATCATAATCAGGAGATTAACTTTGACTCTGCCGTTGTCTGTAAATTACTCACATTTCAGTGTTTGTCTCAGTAATGTTCTTTATGGCAAAAACAAGTGAACAAAAACCTCCAAAGCAATCCTGGATTGTGTGTTTTGTTCATTCTTGTTCACCTCTTGTGTTCATTCTCCTGCACTCTGGGACGATTTACTCAGTCTTTGTGCTTTAGGACAGTGACATTTATTTTGTAGAATGTCCTTCAGTTTGGGTGTGTCTGATGGTTCTTCATGGTTGGGTTGAGAGTTTGCAGTAAGAATAACACAAGTTATGTTGCATTCTTTTAAGTACCTCATATTAGGATGCATGTGTTAGTGATATACCTAAATGTTAGTCATTTTTCCGATCACTTGGGTAAGCTTTCTTCAGTGTAAAGTTACTGTTTTCCCCTTTGCAATAAATATGTATCTTATTTTTTTTCTTTTTGACTGCACCTCACAGGATGCAGGACCTTGGTTCATAAACCCCATGCCCTCTGCAGTGAAAGACCAGAGTCCTAGCCATTGAAATTCCTTAGATACATATCTTGGAAAAGAGACACTTTGAGATGATTTCTCTGTGCTTTTCCTCCTTAAATCCTAGCTTTAGTATCCATTTGATGATTCTGGCCTGAGTCAATTATTATATTGATTATGATGGCCAGAAGGTGTTTTTCTAATTCTATCATTCGTCTACATTTTTTTGGCTTTCCACTGAAAGGAAGAGCAGTTCCCTTCTTACCAATATATGTTTTTATTCAAATCAGTGTAGATATGTGAATTCTTATTTTACTCAGTGGGTTTTAATCCTTGTTTGTCATCATGTATTTAAATGTTTGTTCCAGATTTGTCTAGTGGCGACTCCTTTCAGCTAACTTCTGACTTAAATTTTAATGCTTTTATTTCCCCCCCCCCTTTTTTTAAGCAAATTATAAAAGCACTATAGCCAAAGATGACTTTGGGGGCATTAAATTTAGTGAATTATTATTAAATATTTTTATTTGTAAAATCTTGAAATATTATTTTTCAAGTAAAGCTAATAAAATCTTTTTGGAATTCTGCATTTTAAGACTCAAAGTTCAGCTTTGTGTGTCATGGTGTCTTTGAAGTGCTGTTTTTTCTAGAAAGCAAAGTTTTTGATTCTGTATACAGCATTCAAAAGATGATTCGGGAAGAAACTTTTTAGTGAGTTTGTATTTAACCTCATGTGATCTATATTTACCCACCTCCATTCTTCTACCCCTCCCAAGTTTTAGAGGAAGCTGAAAAGCAGGTTTTCTCTCTCAAAATTTAGATACTTTAAGAAACGTTAATGAAAAGATACTTGTGTTGGATAATCATTTTAGCTTAATTAAAAATAAACTACTCACCTTGTCTTATAGAGTTTTTTAATAGCAAAAAGTAATTTTAAATGGATGAGTTGTCTATGCTTACACCCAGTTTGGCTTAGTTAAATTCAATAAATAAGCAGTGTTTATTTTACCTTAAGTTGAAGTCCTACAAATTGTATCTTTGCCTATCTTTACAGCTGAAAAATACAACAAGGACTTGGTACCTGATAATACAAAAAACGCTGACAATGCAGCTAAAAATGCAGAGCCATTGATCAATTTGGATGGTAAGTTTATAAATGCATAAAAATTATCAACATTTTTGGTTTCTTAAATGATTTTTACTTCTAGAATGAAGTCTGGGTTTACTTGGTTTTAGTAGATTAAGAATGTTTCATGCAGACAGACATTTGTGTTCATATTTTTTTTATTCTTTATGCTGTTTTTTATTGTTGTGACAGTGTCCTTTCTCCCTTATATAGTTAATATCTGAAATTTAAAATGCTCTTCTTTCATCTGTTCCTAGTAACTTGGGCATTTGATCTGATTGCTTCCCTAGATGCAGAAAATATTAAATCTAATGACTATGAAACAAGTGTTAAAATTTTTCATTTTTGTAAGTCCCAGATGTCTTTAAGTAGTTCTTTCTCCTTTTAAAAGTATGAAGATTTTAATTACTTAGGTTATGTTAAATATTCTTTTGCTGACTGATGGTGACCTGTTATTTATGAGTTACCCTTATGAATTAAAAAGCTGCTTGGACACTCTAGGGCTGCGGCTCAGAGAAAAGGTTTTGGGAAAACTGTCCTTGGAAGGGAATCTGTGTATTAAAATTAATAGCTTTGTGAGAAAAGTTAATTAAAAGTGCTATATAAATGGGCCTTGCAGAGAAAGTTACAGGACAAACCTCATGTGAGTTAGTCATTTACTGGGTTGTTCACTTTGGTTGATTAGTAGGAAAACCATTGATCTCATCAATTTACCTAATGATGATGCCCCATACTACTTTTGTCAGCATTAATTTTAGAAATTGAGAGTTTTTTTGTTACTAGAAAATAAAAATGTTTTTAATATATGCTTACATTTATGTCTGTAATTACATGCTTACAGAGCTATGTCTCCATTTTTAATCTTTTATAGTAAATAATCCTGATTTTAAGGCTGGTGTAATGGCTTTGGCTAACCTTCTTCAGATTCAGCGTCATGATGATTACCTGGTAATGCTTAAGGTCAGATTCATATTTTTTGTTCATACATGTAACAATTTTAAAAACTCATTTTCTAAGTAATTATGTTTATATATAATTTTTAAAATCTTCATTTTGTAAAAATAATTATGTTTGATATTTAAATCTGGTTGAATGAGTAAAATGTGAAGGGATGTAGGATATAAACTGGATTTAATTAGTTCATTGGCATTAGATTACCTAACAACCAATATCAGTATTTACTATGAACCTGCCTCTGTGCTAAATCCTTTGCAAAGATGATCTCGCTCAGTCTGCCCAACAGTCCTAGGGGTAGTGAATGATAATAGATAAATAATGTTCAAGCTGACACAGAAAATGATAGGATTTAAACTAGACACTGGACACAGAAAATGAGTCAGGATTTAAACTAGACACTTGACCTTAAACTAGCCACTCAGTCCAGTGTATCACCCCACCTCTTTTTAATTAGTCCTTCTAAAGATTCATGGTCTGTAATGCGTTAAGATTGTGGAAAATGCCAAACTAGTAATGGTGCATTTGATCAAAAATATATACCCCTGAGTCTCTCTGAGGAATGAATGTTTCTGTCCTCCAAGCCCCCCATCCTAGATAGGCCATTCAATTCAGTCCTTCCATCAGGGAATCTAAAGGTCTGAAAGACATATCTTATTTCTGAGAGGAAAAATCTACTCTTACTTCAGACGATTCATGTTGAGTAATTATGATAGTCTGGTGGGGGAGGGGCAGGGGAGTGGTCCTTAGGATACCAGATTTGGAAGTTATTTTAGAAATTATTACTTATTTTTATGAGAAATTAAAGAGCCTTAAATTACTTTAAACTACTTGGCAGGAAATTAATTTCACTCTCCCAACAAGAGATTAAGCCATACTTTATTCTCCTTTTTAGAATTATATTAAGTGACAATTGTAAGAAGGGGAAGACTATTCTATTCCTAGATTATTATAATTCTTTCTGCTGAATCTGAATGTTAACTTGGATCATCTCAACTCTGATTGGATGCCAAGAGACAAAAGTTGTTTTTAGTGAAATTTAGCTCTTTCAAAGGCTTGTTCCTTTCTTGGGCAATTACAAAAATTATTTTGGAATAGTTCTACAATGGTTGTGTCAGCCTTAATCATAAACTGAGAGAGAGGAAAATAGTGTATTTGGGATGCTAAAGTATAAGTCAGTTATAATTAAAAGCTATAAAATTCTAATCCTAACTGCATGTTTGTTCTTTTAATTGAAGCAAACATATGATCTAGACATCTTCATAGGTTTGCTAGGTGTGAGAATCAGTACATTAACTATTTGGCAACTGGACTGTGTAATATATTTGCAGTGACTGTTAGATTGGTTTAGTTATTTTTCAAATGTATTTTTCCAGGTTTTTATTATTAAAAATAATTTTCACACTTTCACCCTTACTTTGGGGTTTTCACTATCATTCACTAAAATTCCTTAAAAAAAATCTTTACGAGTGTGTGCAAGTGCATGCATGCACTTGTGTCTGCAGTGATAAAATGTGTTGATAATGAAAAAATCAATGTGTCCTATGAATAATCTGAAAAAAATTTTACTATAATGAAGTGAAGAACACAAGGACAGTATTATACACTACTCTTTGTGTCAAAGATTGTGTGCGTGCACACACGCATGTGCATGTATCCCTGGTGAGCTAGTAATTTGATAGAGACTTTGTGAGTATGTAGAAGGATCTGGTATCTGTAATTGTTTTCGGAAACCATGACTGAGGCTTGGATAGAAAGGAGACCTACTTTTTCACCATGTATCCTTCTTTATTAAAAAAATTTTTTACCACACACAAATTATTTATTCAAGAAATGTCAATTGTTATGAACATCATTCCACATTAAATGTTAAAAGTGGAAACTTTCATTACAATAGCTGTTTTATTTTTAACTTGCTGGAGAGTTTGTTACTGAAATTAGGTATTTCTAATTTCATCATCTTGAGCATCCTTATTCTATATATTGAGAGAAGAAAAGATAAACAGCCAATAAAAAGTAAAAATAATATTTTGGGGGATTTCTTAGGCAATTCGCATTTTGGTCCAGGAGCGCCTGACACAAGATGCAGTTGCTAAAGCAAATCAAACGAAAGAGGTACGTTGTTTTTTTTTAATCTACATAAATTCTAAATTATTACTGAACCTTTTTTTTTGGAGTTTAAACTTTGACAATACTTAAGATATTCTGTGTTAGAACTGCCCAGAGAAAGTACTTCAGCAGGGTTGAATTTGATTCTTAAGCAAATTGTACCCAGTTATATTTGAGTGAAAAGTGAACTTCACATTTATCTCACTTCATTACTTTTAAGAAGCTGCCAGTACCACATTTACAGTCTACCAGTAGAAAACCACTGTGTGTGCTCAGTTAATTTAAAAGAACTTCCCCTTGTGAAATTTACTGGGTTATTTTGACTAACTACTAGAAAACAGGACACACCTCCTCTTTGTTACTCATTAGTTTTCCTTTTCTACCTAAGTCTTTATCTCCATCCTTGTGTTTCTTCAGAGAAAGCTCATTTCCTACCATGAACCATGATAAAGTAACTTGTTAATAATTTTAGGATAGTTTCAGATGAATTGTACCAAAAATCCAAATGTCCCTAAAGTCTTCTTGAGTATGGATCAGTGCAGACAGTGTCCTCGGGTTAGCAGCTGCAGATATCTGATAATGCCCCTTCCTGCTACATAGATGAATGTCTTCGTTACAGTCTGTATTCTGAACCCGGGTCCTTCGGTCATGCCTCCTCACCCTCTCATTCCCCAGTGTCTATTGTCCTTTGACCTCATCTTTATCAAAGCCCAGTAGTTTTGAAAGGTTGTTAATGCCAGGGCAGGGTAGTGCTCCTCTGAAAGACACTCAGTTTCTTTTAAAGGTTCTTACTGGCTTATTAATTATGTATGAATCAGGCCACTGGAAACTTAAGGATCAGCTTATTTCACCCCCACTATAGAACAAACAGTAAGTTGTTTTGGCATAATCAAATCATTCATAATCATTCAGCAAAACTATGCCTTTGGTTTGGAAGGCAGTGCAAATAAGGCCATAAGCAAATAATCTTTGCTCCTATTTGCCAAGTAAAATTCAGTTTATTTTCAGTGTTCCAGATAAATCCTAACTTCAGTGTCATCTCAGAAGATACTATGCTACAGTAACAACAGTGGAAGAGTTCTGTAGTTTCTTGTTTGCACTCATTCATTACACCGGATTTGGGGCATGAAGTGAGAAGTGACAGCTTAGCATTTGTAACATTGAAAGTATTGACTTTAACTGGTAATGATTTTATACAGTATATAATAAGCAGAAAGTCGAAACTGCCTTCCTTATATTTGATAGTTATTGTGAACTTTATATGGTTTGGCATTATACCAAAGGTGATTATGATACAGGTGTTGACTGGTTAACTAAATGGTTTAGATTCCATTCATTTTCCTAGACTATTTCAAAGTAACTTTTAAAATATATAATCTGATAAATGTCAAAACCAGAAAAAAGTTATGTGTATTTTAGATTTGTACAGTTCATAAAGACAATGTGCTCAGAAATAAAGTTGAGGAAGCTCATGAATAGAAGTAATCCTGTTTGTTCTGTACACTGGCTGCTTACTGTCACTCAAGTGGGACAGCAGCAGCCCTGTTCAACCTTCGCTCCGTAGCTGTAATGATAGCACTGCTGCAGAAAGGAGCTATGCTTTTATAGTGCCTGGTTTTAAAGGATTGGATTGTGTTATGAAACTAGCTTCTTACTACATGGAAAAGCCTTTTTTTTTGGTAGTAGGAAAAAAGTCACTCATCAAAAGGCATATTTAAAGAGAAAATTCTCAGGCACCATGCCACTGCAGCTAAAAGGGCTAAAATAACAGACGAGCTAGCTGCTTTTCAGTATTAGGTAAGAAAATATAAATGTATAACTATATATAGTCTGATTTTTGTCCTTTTTCCTTAAGGGCTTGCCGGTTGCCTTAGACAAGCATATTCTTGGTTTTGACACGGGGGGTAAGTGATTTTTGTTTTAATTCAAACTTTTTAGAGACTTGGTGATTGATTGGGGGAAGTGAGTGAATAAATGCAAAAGTTACTGATTAATGCAGTGTTTCTTATGAAACAGATGCAGTTCTTAATGAAGCTGCTCAAATTCTGCGATTGCTGCATATAGAAGAGCTCAGAGAGCTACAGACAAAAATTAATGAAGCCATAGTAGCTGTTCAGGCGATTATTGCTGACCCAAAGACAGACCACAGACTGGGGAAGGTTGGAAGATGAACATTTTAGGATTTCAGCTTCTCACCTACTTAGTACAATTGGGAACCATGTAAGCTTTGGCATGTGTGTGGAAATGTCATGTTTTCGAGGGAAGAATCCCAGAAAATTGACTATGTTCTAGAGATTTACCATCATTGCTTTTTCTTTAATAAAGTTGGGAAGGCGATTTTTTTTTTTTACTGTGTTTTATGTATCTGTAAAAGTAATCTGCTTTCTCCCTTGTGGTTTTAAGTTCATGCCACCCCCCAACTTCATTATAGACAACACAGATCCTTAAGTCATCGGAAAACTTAAAAATATATTTTATTGGAGTAATCTAGAAAATTTGAGAACTGTTACATCTTTGGTATTTATATATAAATGTAGTAATTTCTGTGGGTAATCCTATAGAGGGATTTACAGGATCAGAAAATACAAATTGAAACATTCTAGCACCTTTTAATATAAATAGAAATGCATTGATGCAGAGGTAAAAAAAAAAAAAAAACTTAGAACTTTTGTTGGGAAAGTATAAATAAGTTGGTTATTTCCCATCAATTCTGCATTAGCCTTCTCTTAACTATGTCAGGGTTTATGATCTTTTAGGATTGTATTTTTATAGTGATCACATGTGCTTTAATTTCTTCTCCAGAAAGCAAAAACCAGATTTAGGGTCTCAGCATGCTCTAATTGGTTCTTAGTTGAATGAATTTGACCTTTTAAATATGATATAAATGTTTATGGAAAGTTGCCTTTTTAATCTTGAAATAACTTTTAAAAAAATACAGTAGTAAAGATTGAGGTATAAACTTTTCACAAAATAGACTTAGTCTTTTTGCACCGAAAATGTTCATCTTATATGTCCAAGAACTTCTAATGGCCAGTTCCTTTTCACTTTCACCTTTGTTCCTGGTAAATGTTCTTTAGGGTCCAGATTCCAATTGAAAACTCCAAGTCCATATTTACTTTCTTCCTGTGGAGGGAGGGAACAGTATGTGAGTATTTTATATCTAATTTGCAACAGCAAGTCTTTTTAAAGGGGAAATATCCTAGTAGGCTGACATTTGTTGTGTACAGTTAAGCTTGGTAGATTTAAGGTAGCAGAATGGTCACCCCTATGTGTTGGCCATTAGCTTTTCTAGCTCAGAGTGGCTCTCCCTGGTGGTGGCAGCAGGCCAAGGGTGATCAGCTCCTAGATCTATCCTCCTCTACCCGGCTGATCCCAAGGCGCTACCTGAGCAGCTGTTTACCTGGGCAGTAGGGGTAGACTGCAGTTATCCCATAGAGGTGAGATCGCTGCTCTGGAAGATACTCGTCAGTAAACTGGCCAGTGTCCCTGTTTACTGCTATAACACCATCCCTGGTAACAGAAAGGAAAAGTGAATTCATAGGATTCAAGACTGGGGTAAGAAAAGTCAGTTTATCAATAAGTGAAATCTCTGCCAGACTTCTCAAGTACATTTAACTGTGGCTTTTGACTCAGATTCTGAAGATGTGTCCGTATCAGTGGTTCTCAAAGTAGTCCTCAGATCTACATCATCTGGGAACTTGCTAGCAGTACAGATTCTTTGGTCTCCTACTCAGATTCTAGAATGGGACTGATCAATATGCTTTGACAAGAGCACGGGATAATTCTGATGTTATGCTAAAGTTTGAGAACCACTGTCCAAATCAGAATTGCTGGGGGTGGAGTTGGAAGGTGGGGGTGGAGTTGGAAGGACATATTTTTAATGTTTCCCAGTTCCTCTTGGTGAACTAGTGTAAGCTGTAGTATTTTTCATTCTCCTGGGAAACAATGAATATGTCCATAATGTCATTTTTTTATTCTCTGAAGATCAGATTCAGACTAACTGTCCTTCCTTTTTGGATAGTTTATTGCCAAATAATATTGCTCACATGTAGCTTAAAAATGGCAGAGCTATTAAATTTCTGAATGATACAAAAGTTTGCTTTTAAAAGCAGTAACACTTGAAGAATGTTACCTACTAATGAAGAAAGAATGAAAAAATACTTACTTACGTGGTACTTACTTAAGTACTTACTTACTAACGTGGTACAACAAGTGCTGTGTCCTCCAGAACAGTTTGCCTTTTCAGGCTTGTCCAGAGTGTCAGGCTCACCTTCTCCAGTCGGTGTGGTAGAAGTGATCTGCGTAGCTCACAATGTTGAAGGGGTAGTTGAGGTTGTTTTGAATGACACGCCGTCCAGTTCCATCAGGTAGTATACACTCCAGTTTTTTAGTTCCTTTAAAAACAAAGAGATCCTTTTATATGATGAAAAAACATTTTTCTTTTACCAAAAACAATGGCAAGTAAATTCATTCTCAAAGAAAACAAAGGTGGAATATTTTATCCCCATTGCAATAATACAAATTAAAAACTGTAAAATTTTCCTGTTCTATTACCAGTCTTCAGTTTGTTTAAGAGCATTCTAGATTTTACTGGAATTTAAACTTTTAATCTTCTTTTGGAAAACAGGATTGCATTTACAGAAACCTGGCTAAGTTTCTTCCAGAGGAGAAGATGATAAAGTTACATCAGTGTTAAAGAAGTTTATGTGTGAACTCATAAACTTTTAAAACATTTGGATAAATACCTGCCCTTTGTAAGCACTCTGTGATAAATAGCCAAGGCTGCCTTCAGCTAAAATCCTTTTTTTTAAAGACTATATTATTTTCTAGGCAGGAATAAAAAGTAAAATGCTAGCCTGACTTGTATTTAAGTGTGACCTCATGGACTGTATATCCCGCCAGGCTCCTCTGTCCATGGAATTCTCCAGGCAAGAATACTGCAGTGGGTAGCCATTCCCTTCCCCAGGGGATCTTCCCAACCCAGGGATCGAACCTAGGTCTCCTGCAGTGCAGATTCTTCAGCTGAGCCACTAGGGAAGCCGTTTTCTCATGGAACCCTTAAGTAAATTTCAAATACCTATTAAAAAATATTACTGTTGTTTTGGGCAGCTGGGTTGTAATATTGATCCACCTGCATTTTTGTCCCTTTTTTTAGAATCAAATTCCTTAAGAACAGCTTTATTTTTTAGTATCTAATGAAACATAAAGTATCTTTTCAGTTGTGCTAATAGTAATGAAATTACACAACAGAGAGAGAACCTAGAAACAGGCAGCCCAAATTTATTACTAAAGGAAGCCATCCTGCCACATCACTTTTCAAAGAATGTCCCCAGCATACTGACTGTTAGAATAACAGATATTTATAAATGTTGTGATACTGAAACAAGAAAATAATAACCTCTGTTCATTTATCTAAGCCTGTCAATTCCAACAGTGTATATATAATACTTATTTTTAACCTAAAAGATGTGCCAAGTGCTCATGCTGGGGGAGGGAAAGCAGTAAAAAATAAGTTGGACATCATACTGGCTCTCAAAGTTACCGCCTCATTTATACACGTAAGACCTTAGGAAGTTCACTCTAAGAATCGTTACAAAGTGTCCTTTAAAACAGGGGTCCCAAATTTCTGGGATCTAATGCCTGGATGATCTGAAGTGGGGCTAATACAATTAATAATAGAAATAAAGTGCACAGTAAATGTAACATGCTCAAATCTTCCCAAAATGTCCAGTCCTCCCCCATCCGTGGAAAAACTGTCTTCCATGAAGCCTCTCTGGTGCCAAATAGGTTGGGGACGGCTGCTGTAAAAGGCGTAGAGCATTTGCTGTAGTGTTATAAATTTAAACCAGAAGTTCTAAATGGTGGGATCTGGTTTTATTGTAAAATCAGAGTCCTCACACTTACTGCACACTGTAGTGTTCTATATTTGCATTCCATCAGTAGTATTACCTGCATCTGCCCAGCAGAGCAGTTTGGAGAAGGGGTCAAAGGTTAAACCATTCGGTAGTCCAATGTCTTTATTCACTAGAATTCTTCTGTTTTCTCCATCTAAAGACGACATTTCAATCTTAGGTGCTTCTCGATTCCAATCTGTCCAGTACAGGTTGCTGTGGGTAAATGAAATGGAGAAAGATAAACCTTCCTCAATGTATAGAACCCAAATTTCAGAGTCAACACTGCTGAAAGTTAAAGCTGAAGGTTATCTTTATATGTCCCAGTTGATGACCTTAGCAGTTATTATAGACAGGAAACACTGTTCTGTTTAACCACTGCCAGTGTGAAAATGGGGCCAGAGGAATAACACGTTTGGTCTCTTAAGTTTTGCTTATTTGCACCATTTTACACAGATAACCCCACTACGGGTTTAACAACTGGGGTTTCCTAATATGTTGCTGGAGTGAGACCCACCTCATTCCAGCCGAAGTCGCAGGCCTGGCCAGATCCAAAGCATCCCCCAGTCTCTCTCACATTCTCTTCAATTCTCTACATACCACATCACAGGCTTAGTAATTTCCTTGTTATTCTGTCATTCATTAGTTTACTGTCTTATTTCCTAGAACGTAGTAGCACATAGACTTCATGAAAGGACAGACCCTATCTTTGCCTAAACAGTGCCTGACACCTAGTAGATCCTAAGTGAATACTGTTAAATTAATGTGCACTTTTATGCTCATGTTCTGACCGTCCCTACACTGTACTTAGAACCCAAGGGCTTCAAGTGAGGGTCAACAGGTAACAGAGGAGAATTAGGGAAGCCCAGCCGACCCCTGGATTGGATCCACAGCGATGGCACGAGGGTTCACCAGGTCCGTGTGGAAGAGGGCCCTACGCTCAGAGCCGTCCAGCCTGGCCCTCTCTATCTTATCCAGGCCGCTGTCCGTCCAGTACATTGTTCTGCGGAAGTGGTCGATGGCAAGACCTTCGGGGCTTATTAGACCTGAAATAAAACAAAGGCAAGACTGAAGCAACTGCAGCTATGAAAGGAGAATCTGGAGCAGAGAGGTCTGTGTTCCAACAGTTGAGGGGAGAATCTTGAGAGTCCCTAAAGAAACAGACTTAATAGAGGAGTAGGTCCTTTGCAGTTTTCCTGCCATGTCTAGTTCACTCTAGCCTCACAAGACCCCCCCAGCCTGGTGGCACAAAGCGTTCCCAGGGCTGGGGCCACTCCCTGAGCTCCTACACAAGCCCTTCCTGGTCAAAGTCCTATCTAGAAGGTGGATGGGAGACTTAGGCACAAAACAGGCAAATAACCTGGACCGAGTAGAATGAAATGAAACGGGAAGTGTCTTCTGGGCGGAGCTGCTGACCTGAGTTAATGACCGTCTCGGGCTCTGCTCCTGGTTCCAAACTGGCACGGCTAATTGTCCGTCCAGCAACATCTGTCCAGTACACCATCCTCTCCCGGCAGTCATAGTCAATTCCCACGACTATTGAGCCCTGTGTGACCAAAACACAGAATTGGAAGAATTCGGATTCCTTGCACTTCCCCCGACTTCATGCTCAGCCACCTCACTCGTTTGTTCATGGCAGCAGTGACCAGCCCTGCAGTGTATGGTTTTGTGGGCAGCTGGGCACAGTGGGTAGAAGTATAGGTGATGGAGGCTGGCTTCCCTGAGCCAATGCCAGGCTTGGCCACTTACTTTGACACTACCTTCATTTTGCAAATGAGGTGACAAAGGCATACAGAAGTTAACAAGCACCTACTTCACATGGCTGCTATCAACATTAATACCATAAAAGCTTATAAAGTATCCTAACCAGTGATGAGTACATTGTAAGCTTTCAATAAGCATTATTACTGTTGGTGGTAAAAACAAAAGTGATTTCATGGAAAAGATCAGCCCATTCAGTGATTAGAGGCGAATGTTAGTCTCAGCAAAGTAAGTCAGCTTTTAACAAAAGCTGACTTTGTCAAATGTAATACAGCACTTTTTCAAAAAGCCTCTTTAAAATTTGCCAACATATGATGAATTCAGCCCTTCCCTGCCCTCAGTCAGATCCTTCTGCTATTTGAGGTGCAGACACCCTTACCCTCTCTCTGCTTCTCTGCCTCTTACTACAAAGCAATCCTTGGGCTGTACTCTAGTGCAAAAGAAAGTCTGTTACAACTTGAAGGAACTGGGGAATGGTGTCCACCTGACTTCTGGCTCGAGAGCTCTCCCCTCCTTCCTTATTGCTAAATAAATGACAAAATCCTTTTTTAAGTGCTGAGCTGGTGATATTCCTTTCCAAAATTCTGCACAGAAGTTGCTTCATTGAATTTCCAGCCCAGACTCCTGCTCTGAGAAGCCCAGCAGATGTGCAGAGCCAATACTGAAGCTGTCCCTGAGGTCTTGCAAGCTCCTTGCTTGCCTAACAAAGCCTCCTGGGGCTGGCGTGACTGGGAGAGGAGTCAGGACAAGAAGAACAAGATTAGGCTACTGTGGGAAAGTGGGGAGTTTTATATAGGAGGATTTTAATTTTCAATTTTACTTGAAAATTGAAAGCTATCTGTCTTGGGCAAGGGGGCACATCCATTACAGGCTTCCATTAATTAACCCAGGGGATCATGGGATTCATTAGCCCATTAATGATTTCAAGCTTTCTTGGAGAAAAAAGTCCCACTTAAATCTTGTAGAGAAACTAAAAATCAGCAGCTAGTGTCTGGAATAACACACAATTCAAATCTCAAAAGGGGGCAGGGGAACCCATTATAAGTGTCGGTGCCTTTCTGGTGAACTCCCTTCTCTTTCCTCCCATCTTAGTGAAGAAATCCTTGCTCCAAAATGGAGTGTGTTGACCACAGGGAAGCTGTCAGCTTGGGAAGCAGCCAGCATCCCTTGGGGAAAGCCCTGTCTACTCCTTTCCAGGATCACGTGCTCCCCATATTTTCATCTATGACAGATTCAGAGAAGATAAGAAGCTGGTCAACAGGACCAAAGCGGAGGGCAGGGGTCCGCAACAACAAGGCTGTCACTTGTTGGCTTCCAGAATCTGCAGCGATGTCTGTGGCTTAAAGAGAACGCTGGGGGCTGTGGTTAACCTATCATCTTCCCTTGGATCCCCAACGCTGCCTCAGTATCCTGACAACTCTGAAATTCGCTTTCCACATGGCTGAAACCCCACACGCCAACTGGAAAAAATGGCCTTGATCAGTCAGATGCGGCACCTGGCAACAGCGCCCTCCCTTCTGCGTGTAAGGTTCCCAGAGACAGCTGCCAACAAGCCCTCCAGGAGCGTCCCCGCACCTCAGACCTTGCCCAGATCTGACAATCCCACACAGTCCCACCCCCAGGGGAGAAATCCACTTTACATGCAGCGACAGCAGGGTCTTGGCCACGTCCTTCTGAAGCCTGGTACCATTGAGGGGCAAGTGGCCAATCTGCTGGCCCTGGGCATACAGCAGGAAGGTGCCCACCGGCGGAGGGGTCACATCGGGCCGGGGTGTGGGCCGGATTGTGGGCGGAGCCACGGTGGGTATGCCTGTGGTGAGGAAGAGGGAGGTAGGAGGAGGAGAGCAAAGGAAATGGTCAGTGGAGAGAAGAAAAGTTACTTCCCCATTTGCCAGAGCCTCCAGAAACATCAGAAGTTCTTTACCCCGGACAGATGTGCCCCAGATGGGCCTTAAAAGAAATTCTAATTTCCAGGGTTTTTTCTCCCAAATGTCAATTAATTATACAAATCACTGCCAATTACTGGGGAGGAAGACGACAAAGTAGAACAAAGTTTGAACAAAGCAGAACATCCCCCTTAAAAAAAAAAAAAAATCCAGAGCCAGTGTTGTGTCAGCTTCTCTTTGGGGCCTCAGGGTAACACATGTCCCCTTACACCCTGGGCTCAGAGTAGTGGGAGCAGGGGGTAGGACTATATATTGAACTAAGCTCCAGATGTTCTAATTACAGCAACTGCTGATGACAAAACCAAACGTTAAATCCACATTGGGATCTGGGGCGGACAAGATGATAAATCAGCACAGCCAATCAGCGACTTCTTCCATTGGACCTGTTCACCCCTCATTCCCCCACCTTCACCCACAGCTGGCAGCTTCCCTACAGGGACCTCAACATGGCAGAGGGGAGGGAGGGCTGCCCCAGGGTGCTTACATGCAGGGGTGATGCCCGGCTGCGAGCGGGTGCCCTGCACCTCTCTGCCGTCCTGGTCGACACACCAGCAGAAGTCACTCTTGCCATGGCACTGCAGTGGGGTGAAGTGGCCCAGGTCATCGCACTGAGGCACGTACTGGTCGTCCCTGGGGGTGCCCCCGTAGTGCTCCAGCAGGCTTTCCCTCCAGCGCTCACAGACGGTCCGGGGCCTCTGGGTGGGCTCTGAGCAGATGCGGACAGAAAGCCTTTGAGTGTGAGCCAAGGACAGACTGTAGCATGTGGTTCAAGATCCCCAGGCCTGGCCTCCTGGTCTTCTTCCTCCTCATGCCCATAACGAGGCCTCAGCCAAGCCCCTGGATGCTGGCCCCGAGCAGCAAAGTGCTCCAGGAGGTTCTCCTGGGAATCGGGAGAAGGGGTTGTCCCGATGCTCCTGTGACCCTCAGACCAGGAGGAGTGTCATCAAGGCCCAGCCACATCAGGATAGAACAAGAGGCGGTAACATCTGGGGTGCAGGGCTTGCTCAGCCTGGGAAGGGGCCTCTGCTAACAGCACTTCTGGGGACTCTCCTTGGGGACTCAGTGGCCTACATGATGCTTAAAGCCATTATTTATTCCTTCTTGTTTCAAACTCCGGGACCTGCATCTGAGAGGGCTGTCTCGAGACTGGCCAGTGTGTCTTAGGAAGTATTACCGAATGCCCTGCTTACGTGTGGCCCTACGTATCTGTCCGCTGGAAAACTATTGAGTAAAAGTAAAACTGACTATAATTAGTATGTGTGATCATAGAGTTGGTGGCAAACAACTTGATACTGACTGTGACACTCCAGCTCCTTGAAGTCCTTTGGCTACCCTGCCCTGGGTTTATCTCAAAGCTGAGGCCCCAGCTTCCGTCCCACCGTGTTGCTCTGTCCCTCCCTTTGAACAGCATCTTTCCCCATCCTCCCCTCCTTCCTTCCTCACTACCATGCTGAAACTCTCGTTAGCTTCTGTGGCAGAGCAGCTTCCCTACCAGCAGTTTTTTCCCGGACAGCTTCTACAGGCTGCCAAGGCTCTGTCCCAGATACAGCAGTTCTCTGTCTGACAGGACTCTGCTTGAGGCAGTTTAACTTGACAGTCTCCTAAGATAGGATGACCTACAGGAATTTAAGTACGGATAGAAGGTATTTCTCCTTCATTAATTCCTGCAGCTCAGAGCGTGCAGAATCACACAGCCAAGTACCTACTTCTGTCACCTTGTGGATGTGTAACAGATCTCAGAGGAGAACAAAAACTGGGCTTTCTCCCCTCAGAGCTCTCCTCTAGACTTCTCCATAGCATTATACAGCATCTCTATCTTTCCAGTGCTCAGGCTTACTAAACCCTGACTCCCTTCTCCCACTCTACATCTGATACATCAAAAAAGGTCAGCTGATGTCTTCACATCTCACCACATCTACCCCAGTCATCTCCTGCCAGGATTACTATGTATGTTAGCCTTCTTACTGGTTTCCCTGCTTCCATCATCTTTCCTGCTCCCCACCCCCAGCCCTGCTGTGAACTCAACCAGCAGCCAGAAAGAGTCCCTTAAAAAAAAAAAGTCATGTCACTCCTTTGGTCAAAACCTCCAATGAGTTCAAAGAACAGCTGGAAACATTACATTTGAGCACCTGGAAAGCCAGAAGATGGTGAATAAAATCTTCAGAGCTCCAACCAAAGGAGCCCAACTCCAAGACTCACCATGTTTGGGGCAAACTGATGCCCTTCAGGGCAGCTGAGCTCATAACCCACGCAAAGCTCTTTTTAAAACATGAAGAAAAAAGACTGACTTCCTCACCCAGATGTGTCTCAGAGGACCCAGAGAGGGAAATACCACTTCCTCACACACTCGCCATCGTCACCGGGTGGGATTCCCTGAAGAAGTTCCCAGCATCACCCCTGGTCCACATTCCATACTCAGAGCATCAGTGCTCAGGGGACCACCCGACAAGGCACACACAGCAGTCAGCCTCCAGGAAAGGAGTACCTCACGTCACTTACATGTGGGCATCTGTCATTGCTTACTATTTCAAGCTGTTTCTCAATCCAATCATGGATTTATTTCTCTTTCTGGCTGGCAGGGTTTTAAATACTTTTGAATTTTGGGCACAGAGTGTTCTCTCACCCTTGAAAGCAGACCCTATTATGCAGATGAGACTAGTCCGAAATGGCGACCAAGGCCAAACCAAAAGAGAGGCCTGGTCATGGGAAAGAGTCTGCACAAAGGAATATGCCCCTCTTTCTGTAAACAATGTCTCATTCTCTTGGCTCCCTTCTGGATCACTGTCCTTAATATACACCTATCTTAATAAATTTAACAGGATTCTGAACCATTCTGTTAGGGCACCTCCCAACCATCTGATTTCTTCAAATCCCAGCTGGAATTTAATCAAGACTTTTTAAAGACTAGGCATGAGTAAAACAGAATTTCTCTGTTTTTTTTTTTTTGGAGGGGGGCAGGGGGACCTGAAAAATCTTCCCCCAGAAACAGGGGAAAGAAAAAGGAGTGTTATGGTGGAAGCAAGGGTATATAGACATCTAGATCAAACATTACCAATGCTTACTTACATGAATTTTAGAAGCACTAATGTCCTGGCCATAACAATTCATATTATTGAAAGGATCAAAACTGGCAATCAGAATCAAAACTGTAATCAAAATTACAAAAATGAAGTAATTCTCCATTTCTTACTCTCATACATTAAAAGCCAAGACTGGTACTTATGGAACCTTCCTCATTGGTAAAAACTGATCTTTGAATAGTGAGCTCATGGATCTATATAGGAATTATTTTGGTCACAATGATACCAAACCAATGCTGTGTTTCATTAATAAAGTTCTTCTGTATTAAAAGAAAAAGTTCTTCCCATCTTTGAACAACTCAACAAAGGAGCAGCAGTCTGCCTTGGCAACCTACGGTTGGCGTGAATTCTTGAGTGCTTGGAAATCACACTCCATGCCCCATGCAGACGGGGAGTGCTTAGACCATAACAGGTTCATCAGCAGCATCTCGGGTCTCTAAGGTGAACAAAACAGGTCCCTGCACCTCTTCTATAGGTGGCAGGAGCAAGAGTGATTCCCCATCGACATGTTGGGAAGAGGGCTGGGGTTACTAGCTTAGAATGAACCAGCGGATCCACCTACAAGGGTCATACTTATTTTCCCCACTGATTTTAAAACAGTCTTCAGACTGTTTCCTGCACTCCCGCAGGTCAGAGTTCAGTGATACAAAGTTACATGGGGAGGCCTCCCAGACCTTACCAGGTGTGCACTGAAATCCATCCCCGTAATATCCAGGTTGGCAGCGGCAGGAGAAGGAGCCAGGGGTATTGGAGCAGGTGGCCGAGGGGTGACATCTGTTTTCCGAGCATTCGTCAACATCTGCAGCAGTCACGGAGAGAAAGGGAGGGAAGGAAGGAGCATGATTTCACTGCACACAGATTGTGCCACACATGCCTCTGTGCGTGGATCGACACCCAGGCGTCCACTTCAGAAGACCCTCGGGCAGGGGCAGAAACATACTGGCACCTTTTTTTTTTTCATATTGGCACCTTAAAGGCAAGCTTAAGGGTACAGAGTCAAGGGACACGTTCAGTGTAGAAGTCAAACGTGGTCTCTCACACAGAAATATATCCTACATCTTTCTTCTACAGTGAATTCCAGGAAGTTATTACCTTTGAACTAACCTTTAGCCCATAAACCATTTCCTTTCAGTAACACTACAATAAATATATGTAACAATAATTTATTTTTTCCTTTCCTTATTGGCACTATCTCCCTATAGTACTGATTTATAGATTCAAAAGAACCCAGTGAAGCTCCAACTTAGCTTCTCAACTAACACACACATTCAGTCTTACATAATCAGAGACTCCTACTACCTAGAATGTCCAAAAATTTTCAGAAATTTAAAAAAAGGAAAATTTTTTTAATCAGAAATTTACTTTCCACCTTTAGAAGAAATATAGAAGTATAAGAAAAATATTATCAGAAGATTTAAGACAACATAAAAAAGAAAATTTAAATTTGTCCAGGTTCTCAGTACAAACACTTCAGGTCCCAACATTCTCTACACAGTACCACGTGGATTAATTTTCATATTTCTCATAGCTGCAACATCCTGAAACTTCAAACAAAGGCAGACTTACATTCCTTTTATTTACTGAAATCAGTGCAGGCTGACAATAGCAAGACACCACCCCTACCCTCCACCCTGCTGCCAGGAAAAAAAAAGTCTGACAATCTAACTGCTGAAACCAATGGCCAGTAGTTGAGATAAGCCATCTTCAGAGACAGAAAGTCTTCCTGAGCAAAGAGGGGATCAAAGGGGTGGATCTGATCAAGGCTCAATGGAAAATAAAGCAGTCACACCCGAGCTAACATACAATAAATGTTTTAAAAATGTGTGGCGAGGGAAAAACCATGGGATGGGATGATCAACATTAAACCAAGAGGACAGAAGTCACAGAATGAACTACGGCGATTCTGTACAGCTTGTGACAGAGACGCGTGGCTCCCTGGAAGGTGGAGACCTACAGCCCTGAATGTGACGCCAGTCAGCTGGGCACAAACGCTCCTCGCCCAGCCTCCCAGGTCCCAGGTGAATTCTCTCCCGGGGTGATCAGTGCCACCCCTGCCGTGAGCACGTTGCGCTGAGCCACCTCCCCATCACTAAGGGCTTTTCCCATCTACCAGTAAGTAGATGTACTGGACACAACACGTACTGAACATTCTGTTCAGGGGAAAGGAAAATCTCTGACATCGTAATTAGCAATGTAATCACTTACACTGCTTATCCTCCTGATCCTGCATTTAGCCCCCATTAATTACTTCACTCTGAAGTCTGAACTCTTGAATGCCTGACAAGACCAAGGTTAATGCCACCTAGAGAGACTCTGCCTAGATGAGCAGTTGGCCTGCCTGGTTGCCTTCCTTTCACTGACAAAGGCAAGAAGCTGGTTGTAAATTTATCTGCAAGGTTAAAGTGGTTAGCTCCTCAGTTCACCAAAACTAAACCAAATTAATTACAACAACCAGAAACTTATCTCCAATCTGATCGGTCAGGGCTGAATACTCTCATGTTTCGTTATCTTTGAGTTTGGCCCTGCTGTTCGGAAGGACAACGCCAGTGTCCAGTTGGCTGAAGTTGGTGCCCCTTCAGTTCCTTGTGCCTTCTATGATGCTATAGAACCAAACTGCAAAAATTAACATCCAACCAAATGCAGGAAATTAAAGCTATTCATAATGCATATGCTAAAATTACTTCTCATGGTAACAGGAACCCCAGGCAATGGCAGGAAGCAGGAATTCCTGAGACACAGGACCTATTTCTAGAACCCATAGATCAGTTGCTTGTGATTACTTTTGTGAATAAAGAGAAAGAGGATTCCCCAGAGGTTCTGAGTTATGTTCTTAAAGCCCATGGCCTAGGAATTCCAACCAGACCTGAAAGGGCAGCCATCCTCCCAAAGGCAAAGTCATGGGGAGACAACTTAAGAATGAACAGGGAGAAAGTCTCTGAAGAGACCAAGAGCATCACAGGTGAACAACTCCTGTCCCCTAAAGCTGGAGAAGCTTAAGATTCCCTGAAGCAAGCTCCCCATCTCTTCCTTGGAGGCTCTCGCACCATGTCAGAGAACTGGAGCCCCACCAGCCACTCCAGGGCCTGAGTGCAGAGCAGGCTACCCGCCTTCCTCAGAGGGCCAACCTGAGGAGTGCAGGGGGGTCCAGAGCTTTTGTGTAAAGGAGAAATCTTCCTAGCTTCCCAGGGGATCAGGTGTCAGCACAAAGTATAAAGACACTCTGAACTCCTTCGCAAGGGAGGAGTTTCTTCTTATACTCCTGGGGACAGGGGCCTGCTTAACCATCACTGTCAGGGTCTTCAGGTGCTGGTAGGTCAAGGCAGTAAGGTTCAAGGCACAGGAGAGTCTCTGGCCAGTCAGACAATGCCAGATGGCTTAATCTCAGGGCAAGTCTCCATTCTTATCTGCTACCAAGCTGCTAAAAAACCTCTTTGGAAAATGTGTTTAAAATTCTCTATTTTGAGTTCATGCTTTGGTGCTTCAACATTCTTATCCCTGCCTTAATTCTGAGTCCACGCCCAAAACCCAGCTGAAATCCCTTCAAAACAAACCAGCCCCTGGACTCTAGCTTCCCCACCCCCACCCCCCTGGTTTGCTTTCGAACCACCCAGAGAAATTCCCTGGCGCCAACTCTCCCTGATCCCGCTCCAGACCCCAACAAAGGCTTGAAGGCCCATGAGTTGTCACTCCCCACCTACTCGGTCAGAACCCAGATTCTGGCTGTGCCCATAGGGTCCGGCACGGCATGCAGTGACCTGCTCTCTGGGACCTGTGAGCACAGTCGGCTTCTTCCCTTCAAGCCTTGGTCCCTACATCACTTGTGGCCACACCAACTTTACTATACCTTATCCAGAGTCTGCGCTCCTCCCCCAAAAGCCATGTGTGAGAACAGTGTAAGAAGCCCTCCTCACGGCCCTTCTGTGGGTAATGGGCCATCTGTAACCCAGTTCCTCAACTCACATGTGCTCCTCCCTGAAAAGGTCTCAGCTCACAGCAATCTGCTTTTCCATCCAGCAGAGTCACTAAGATCTGCAGGGACAAACGTGCCTGAGAAATATCCAGCTCACACCAATGCAGGATTGAAATCAGTCCTGACAGGGGAGCTGGAAAAGATTTCATTCTACTTGCATAAAAATAATTCCTACTTGTGACTCAGGCTAGATCGAGAACCCAAAGCCAAGGGCAGCCTCCCCAGGGAAACTGGTTTTTAACAAACTGGCTGGAGAAAGAAAAAGCCACACACTCTTTCAATGCCAGTTTGATGGACTGAAAACAAATGTGCACTTTAAGTGTGCTCACTTTTCACAAAACAGAGCCTTCATCGCTATTTTTCTTTTTCTCTATCTCAGTTGTCACTGGGACACATGCACACTGCAACATGCCTTTAAAACTGTGTGCACACACACACGTTTATACACTTATCCTGCCAGCCACCTTCATGATTAGCCCAGCCTGATTTATGCACAGCAGAGGTCTTTAGGAAAATGACTGTTATTTTCTACTGCCCCAAAATGTGGACAGCAACCACAGGGTAACTGACTATGGGAGGCAGCCTCTCATAGATGGTCCCAAAGATCCCTTCCTCCTGGTATTCAGGGTCTTCTATAATCCCCTTCCTTTGAGTAACTGGCTTCCAACCAAGACACTAAAGCAATACAGAGGAGACATCACTTTTGTGGTCACTGCCAACCTACTAGCAGGCCTCCTGCTGCTGGCTTTGATAAGGAAGTTACCTTGTGGGAGAGGTCTGAATGGCAAGAAGCTGAAAGTCACCTCCAGGCAATAGCCAGCAGGGACCTGAAAGTCCTTGGGGAATGGAATCCTGCCAATAACCACGTGAGCCTCTTTCCCCATCTGGACCCCAGATGAGATCCCAGGTCTGACAGACCCCCTGACTGCAGTCTTGTGAGGATCCTAAAGCAAACGAATGAGCTAGACCATACAGATAATAATACTGTGTACTGTTTTAAGCTGCTATGTGTTTGGGGTAAATGGTTATGCTGCAATAGATTACTAATACACTGGGGAAGCAACAGATTGGCCTGGCCTACGTTTAAGTTGTGGGTTCCAGAGAGAATCCCAAAAGTAGAGAAGCAGAGAGAAAACAGGGACAATTGAAAATGTCCTTGAAATCAGAAAGAGGGCAACTGTAGCAAAGAATGACAATCCTAGAAAACTCCCAGCATGGAAGAGTAGCTAATTTCAAGGTCCTACTACAACCCCAGAAGGTAACCCAAGTCCTCCAAGACAAGCAGAAGTTAAAAGAAGGGAGAATGATTCTCGAAGGAGTTAGGACAAGCAGCAGCTCACCTACATTAACATTCTGATTTTAATCCTCATCACATCTAGGCGGCAATTAATTTCAACTTCTTTGTTTTAAACCAAAGACCTAAGGAATGAAATGCTTTTGAAACACCACCTCAACTTACCTGAGCAGACAGATGTTTAAATATGAAATTCTACTGACAAGATTTTTTCCTCTGTGCATTCTCATTTCTGAGAGCCAGTAGTATGTTAAGTCAAACTGAATGATAAGTTTCCACAAGGGAGGAAAAAGCAGTATTCCTACTGTGGGGTTCAGCAGAAACATGAGAGGTCTGTGCACATCACCTGATGCCTCCCCCCACCCCCCACCACCCCCAGACCTAGAGAGTGCCTCCATCTGTATAGAGTATCTGTTGCAGATGGAGCTCTCTGGCCAGTCAAGTGGGACAAGTATCTGTGACTTACACTTCTACTCCATCCTAATTTGAAAAGCACTTCACCTCTGTCTCAACCTGGGGGTGTTTTTAGGGAGAAAAAACAACCTCAGGGCTAAACTGAGTCACAGTTTTGGGTCATTTCAATATAAACTATGTTTTCAAGAAAGCCATACAGCTAAGCTTCTGTACATCAGAAAGGGAAATGTTCAAGAGCTAGGTTTGAAAAGCCCCACATCTGGAAAGGAGCCGAGGGCTGTGCTGCCCTGACACATCTGTTCTGTCAAGAACATGTGGCTTTAGGCTGCTGGCCCATTCAGCCTATCCAGATGAAACTAAAGGGAAAGGGGAGGAGGAGGAGAAGCCAACAGCTGGGGAGGAGGGCGGGGCCAGGCTATGTGATCTGTTTAAGAAGATCTGATCTATTTAAGAACATGCTATTTGATCTGAGGAGGAGGAGAAGGGGACGACAGAGGACAAGATGGTTGGATGGCATCACCAACTCAGTGGACATGAGTTTGAGCAATCTCTGGAAGATAGTGAAGGACAGGGAAGCCTGGCGTTCTGCAGTCCATGGGGTCGCAAAGAGGCGTACACAAGAGGGACTGAACAACAACAACAACAAAGAATCCCCTAGAGCTATAAGGCTGTTTTTAGCAAGTTTGCTCAGTGGGCCCAGGTATTCCGGGGCCAGATGCAAAAAGCAATTTGAAAAGAGGGGAAAGCCTGCATTTTAGATTTCTGTTCCTAAAACTGACTCCTTTCCCACCATCCTCTCATTTCCAAGTATCTCATTTAACTATTATTTGTGTGTATTACTGACAGATGTTTTGAAGATCTTTAGTGAATTATGTAGGCTTACTGAATGATCTCTATGTTGGGTAATACTAACCCCAGTTTCATGAACATTTATAATCAGAGTGTCATGCCTAGTTTTTCAGTAACAACCTCATACATCTTGAAGTTAAATTTGAACAGTTAGTCCTGCTTTCTGGTTTAGTGATTTTATAAAATATGGCATAAAGTCTTAAACAGAGTTATATTTCTGAAAGGAAAGATTTGAATACTTAGGTATGCATTAATATCCTTTTATATCTGTGGATTTTTCTTCTCTCTCTCCCTCTCCCCTTTCAGAGAGAGAGAGACGAAGGAATAAATTACACAGAAAGAATTGTATGTATGTTTAGAGATTGCTTCAAATACCACTTCAAGCAGGGGAATAGCAACTAAAAATTGGGCAAGATTGGAAGTGCTGAATTAAGCCATTAGCTAGAGAGACTGAAGTATGGAGACTTCCTCCCAGGGGAATATACAATTTTCCCTCGCATCCCTCCGAGCTACACTAGCTCCAGGGAACAGGAAACTGCAAGCTGGCAGAAGCTCCCCACTTCTCCAGGTACGTCTCCTCCAAGGACAACCATACTCGCTCAACAATCTGGTGCCAAGGCAATCACATTTGGCCTCTGACTCAAAGGACACCTTTTTTTTTCCCCTCTTCCAGCAGTTCCAGGAGGTGTGAGTCAAAGGAAAGAAAAAGTTTCTGAGAGGCCCTGGGGATGTGGGGATGTGCATCCAAAGCAACTTTCAGGGTCACTGAGCTGCCCACAGGTACTCACCGGTGCACCGGTGCCCATCTCCGGCATAACCAGGCAGGCAGGCGCAGCTGAAGGAGCCGTCTCCATGGTGAATGCACCGGGCCTGGCTGGCGGGAGCACAGTTGTGACGGCCATCCTCACAGGGGTCGGGAGGTGGGGCGATCACTGAAGAGGGAAGAAGGCAAAGATGTCCAAGAGCCCAGGCCTGCGAATGGGTGAGCCCTGCTCTTTGCAGTGTGATCTGCACACCAACAGCATGAGGACACCTGGGGGTTCATAAGGAATTCAGTTCCCAGACCCAACCCAGAGCCAGTGAACTGGAATAGGAATTTTAACAAGGTCCCTGGATGGTTGTACGCAAATTACAATCTAAGAAGTGCCAGTCTTGGTTTGTGGCCATAACACTAAGCATGAAAATAAGTCGTCAGCAAATGTCCCTGACTAAAGCACACACTGCTGCTTGGCATGCCTGTGTGTACATGTACATACACATACACACATACACACACACACACACACACACACACGAGTCTCTATGAGTGCTGCTACCTTTTCATCTCACTGGATTCAAAAGTGGGTTTTCTCTAATATCATCTAGCTCTAACAATGGAATGACTTTGGAATTCTAGTTCTTTTGGATCCACTCTTATGTCAAGTATTATTCTGGAACTCTAGAAAGGGTATATTTATTACCAATAGAGCTTTCGGTCAGTCAAATAGGTCAAACCTCTTTGAATTACAAAATCCATGTCATTCTGATTTGAGAAACACTTGACCTCTATCTAGAGCTGCTGGTATTAGAAAAGTCCATAGTCTTACTACATGATTGGGCCAAACATCAAGCTACACAGCAGTCCTGACAGAGGTGAACATCCTTCCATGACTTACACCAAAAATTTCTATTTAGATAGATAAATAGCACAACACAACAACAAAAACCTAAACAAAACCAAACCCCAACACACAGGACTGAACTGAGCCATAGCTTTGGGTTCTTTCCATGTGAATTGTCTGTTTCCTAGAAAACCATGCAACAGAGCTTCTGTAGAGCCACAGTGTAAACAGTCATGCATCCTGGAGCACTAGTGGGCACTCACAGATGCAGGTATGCCGGTCGTCTGCAAACTCGTAACCACTCCGGCACTCACATCTGTAGCTCCCCAGCAAGTTGACGCACACAGAGTTGGGGCCGCAGCGGTGGAAGCCAGTTGCACATTCATTGACATCTAAGGAGGAGTAAGAACAAAAAGGGCTGCTTAAACCAAAGGCCCCACAAGCAGAAGGTCTGCAGACTCGGTATTCTCTCACCCCTGAGAGGTTTCAGTGGGACTAGCGGTCGGTAGACTAAACAGGGGGCAAAGTGCAGGCTGCCTCAGCACCAGATGTAGATGCACATTGCAGACTGTCATAAAAATAAACGTTTATTTCAAGTCATTCAAGTATGAGCTCCAGGGAGATATGTTCTGAACAAATATTCTGAGAATTCTTTAAACATTTAAGCCATTCTGAACATTGAGAAGAAAAATACTGAGTAACCATGTTTCTTTTAAAGTGTAAAGAAATCTCCATGACTGCTTTTGAGATACAGTAACTGAAAGAAATGAATGAAATGGATGTCCGAAATCTGAAGGTAACCAGAAAAATGTACTCTTTAGTGAATGTAAAAAATACTTGATTCAGGCTCAAAATGACAAGATTTAAGAGTATAAAATATCCACAAATTACAATAGCCCTAAATACCCACTCCAAACTATTCTGGTAAACCTAACCAGAATATGCCTGGTTTTTAAATAGTTGGTATTTTTAGATGAAGAGCTGCTAAACTCATTGACCCATGGAGATGACAAAGCAGACACTTGTCTTCTATGGACAGAATGCTGGAGGCCTTCATGGAGGAACACAGGGCACCGGGGTCTTACCCACGCAACTCCGTCCATCTCCCTGGTACCCAGATGCACACTCGCAGGTGTAGTCCACACCTGTCGCCGGATGGCACCGAGCTGTGGTGGCACATGTGTGGCTCCCATCGTAGCAAGGATTCACTGGGGTGGGCTCGGAGTCTCCTGCGTGGGTAGAGAGAAAACACAAAAGAAAAGCACAATCTGGCTGTCATCAAGAGAATGGCACAGAAGGAAGAAGATCGGCAAGTGGAACTGGCTGTGGACTTGTAAGGTTGAGGCCTGCCTGGAGACCTTACTAAATTAATATCTAAAGTGAGGGTGGATCATCTGCATTGCAGTTCTCAATTCCAGAATGGCTGCCTCTCGCCTACTCTGCAGATAACTAACCTTTTCTTATTTACAGCAGGTTTGTGTCCAGGGAATAAAAATATCCAACATATAGCATCCTTTTATTTAAAAGTACTTTCATTATATCATCTTCTGTGATTCTCAGGATAATTCTGTGAGGCAGGCTGTCATTCCTTTTATTGGTAATTTTCACCAATAAGGAAAATAAGCAAGAGACATTAGAAAAATTGCCCAAGCTCGGAAAGTCAGGAAATGGGACAGCAACACTTATACCCAAAATTTCTGCCTCTGAATTTTGCAGTCTCACTAAGTGCACTATTCTATGGGTCAAAATTCAATTAATGAGAAAATCTTGCCTTTTTTTTTTTTAAAGATTTATAAGACCAAATAAATGGGAATAACTTGTGTAGTATTTACTCTTTAGGATTAACCTTGCCATGGCTCCATCTGACCACTAGGTAGTGATGACAGTTAACATCTGAAATCTTCCCTGAATCTACTAGATTGAGTGTAACAGTAATGCGTATTAAGCACTTATGTGCCAGGCATTGCTCTAAACCATTGCCTACTCTATTCTAGTAATTACTCATGACCATACTGTGAGGAATGTATTATCATCTTCCTTTTACCGCAGCACAGAGAGATCAAGTAACCTGAGCAAGGTCACACAGCCAGAAGAGGTGGAGGAGTCCAAAAGTCAGGCAGAGGCCATGCTCCCCAAATCACACAGGCATGCTTGCAAGTCCCTCATCCCTCCCCTCTGATTCTCTTGCCAGACAGTCTGGAAGTATAGCATTTGGGTTGTGGTGGCAGGGTTAACTTGATCTTACTGACCAGGGTCCTGAGTCAGTCCCCAGTGTGTGCTGCAGTTGAAAACAACAGGGTCATATCTTCACTGAAGGCCCCACATGAGACAAAGACCTGCCTGCCTCCCTTTATTCTCTCTCCATTTTAGGAGAAGGTTTTCTACCAAATTCCTGACGTACCCAGCCAAAGGAAGAAGTGAGCTTTGAGATATATTAGTTTATAAATACTGATGGCTTAGCCTTCTTGTTCAGTGCTCTCCAGCATCAAAACTTCACCATGGCACATTCCAGCAGAGATTAGTGAGTATACATAATGTCAGGAGCTTACTAGCCTGAGAGGCATTACAAGGAGAAGAAAAAAAAAAAAAAATGCAGCCCAGAAGTTGATTGGCAGACTTGGACAGGATACACTAGCCTACCTGAAATTGAGGAGAAAGTGTGAATACCTGCATCATACTGACTTAAAATAGCCTTCACTGACAGCGCAGCCACATCATTTGCTGAGCCCAATGCAAAACAAAACTGTGGAACTCTTTGTTAAAAAATTATTAAGAGTTTCAAGACAGTGACAGCACAGCTTTAAACCAAGTATCAGCCAATTTCTGAGCCTGAGGCCCTATGCTCAGAATTTGGTTTCCAAAAACACTATATTAAAAATCCATTTTTAAAACTGTGAGTCTATTCATTCTCTGTGACTAGTTAGCTTTTCTCCTATTATAGTAAGTAAAGAAGAGCTGTAACCTTCTTAAGACATTTTCTATTTCTCCCTCTCCCTCTTGAACAGTTTGACTCTCTGACAGAGGATCTGGAACTAATTTAGTCATTTAATCAAGAGAAGACTGGTTTTCCTTAAAGGAACAGTCCGTTCAGCTTCAATGCATGGCCCTCTGCCCAAAGGCTCCTCAACTGGAGAGCTGAGCCCTGAACTGGGATCAAGGGCAGGAAGCATTCCTGGATCCTGTCCTGCGACCCCACCAACACCAGCCAAGCCACATGGGAAACTCAAACACTTGGGCAAGGCAGGGGGCTGGCTGGTGGTCAAGGAGAAGGGGCTCCCTGGGAAGACTGCCTCCTGAACCCTGGACACCCAACTGGGAGCTCCCACGTCAGGTGGGGCTGCTGTTTTGTTTCACACACATTCCAACCAGATGATCGCTCCCTCTGGAAAAAGGGAAAGGCTGTTAAGATACTTGCAGGCTTGTATATTTTTGAGATTAATCCTTTGTCTGTTGCTTCATTTGCTATTATTTTCTCCCAATCTGAGGGCTGTCTTTTCACCTTGCTTATAGTTTCCTTTGTTGTGCAAAAGCTTTTAAGTTTCATTAGGTCCCATTTGTTTATTTTTGCTTTTGTTTCTAAAATTCTGGGATGTGGGTCATAGAGGATCCTGCTGTGATTTATGTCGGAGAGTGTTTTGCCTATGTTCTCCTCTAGGAGTTTTATAGTTTCTGGTCTTACATTTAGATCTTTAATCCATTTTGAGTTTATTTTTGTGTATGGTGTTAGAAAGTGTTCTAGTTTCATTCTTTTACAGGTGGTTGACCAGTTTTCCCAGCACCACTTGTTAAAGAGGTTGTCTTTTTTCCATTGTATATCCTTGCCTCCTTTGTCGAAGATAAGGTGACCATAGGTTTGTGGATTTATCTCTGGGCTTTCTATTCTGTTCCATTGATCTATATTTCTGTCTTTGTGCCAGTACCATACTGTCTTGATGACTGTGGCTTTGTAGTATAGTCTGAAGTCAGGCAGGTTGATTCCTCCAGTTCCATTCTTCTTTCTCAAGATTACTTTAACTCCTGCAGCTCAAGTCCAGAAAAATAAATGACCCAATCAAAAAATGGGCCAAAAAACTAAACAGCCATTTCTCCAAGGAAGACATATGGATGGCAAAAAAACACATGAAAAGATGCTCAACATCACTCATTATTAGAGAAATGCAAATCAAAACCACAATGAGGTACCATTACACGCCAGTCAGGATGGCTGCTATCCAAAAGTCTACAAGCAATAAATGCTGGAGAGGGTGTGGAGAAAAGGGAACCCTCTTACACTGTTGGTGGGAATGCAAACTAGTACAGCCACTATGGAAAACAGTGTGGAGATTCCTTAAAAAGCTGGAAATAGAACTGCCATATGACCCAGCAATACCACTTCTAGGCATACACACTGAGGAAACCAGATCTGAAAGAGACACGTGCACCCCAATGTTCATCGCAGCACTGTTTATAATAGGCAGGATATGGAAGCAACCTAGATGCCCATCAGCAGACGAATGGATGAGGAAGCTGTGGTACATATACACCATGGAATATTACTCAGCCATTAAAAAGAATTCATTTGAATCAGTTCTAATGAGATGGATGAAACTGGAGCCCATTATAAAGAGCGAAGTAAGCCAGAAAGATAAAGACCATTACAGTATACTAACACATATATATGGAATTTAGAAAGATGGTAACGATAACCCTATATGCAAAAAAAGAAAGAGACTCAGATGTATAGAACAGACTTGTGGATTCTGTGGGAGAAGGCGAGGGTGGGATGTTTCAAGAGAACAGCATTGAAACATGTATATCTAGGGTGAAACAGATCACCAGCCCAGGTTGGATGCATGAGACAAGTGCTCGGGCCTGGTGCACTGGGAAGACCCAGAGGGATGGGGCGGAGAGGGAGGTGGGAGGGGGGACCGGGATGGGGAATACATGTAAATCCATGGCTAATTCATTTCAGTGTATGACAAAAACCACTGCAATGTTGTAAAGTAATTAGCCTCCAACTAATAAAAATAAATGGAAAAAAAAAAATATATTTGCAGGCACTGAGAGAGGAAAGAAAAGAGGCTGTGTTTTTCTTTTTAATTTTCTTCTTTCTTCCCCATTTTCCTCCTATTTGGATAGAATGAACAGTATTGCTGTTTTACATAGGGGTGGATGAATGAGCAGGGCTGAAAAACACAAAGGGTAAACATCCACATTCCTTCTTTTAAAATTTGATCTATGTTACAAGGCAGTCCTGGAGTCTGTGGGGTCCACGGGGAAGACCCATGAGTGAGGGGAGACAGTGGGCTCTGGGTCTGGCGTCGGATTTGAGCCCCGGCTCAACTCTTCCAGCTGTGACCAGGCTAATTACTTCATGTCTACACCATTGTCTCTGTAAAAGGGAGTAACAGTCCCTTGACTGGTAGGGTTGTTGGGGGGATTTGATGAGTTAAATTCATGAAAGGTACTTAGAATGGTGCTTGGCATCAAGTAAAACTGTCCTTTACTACTACCACTACTACCGCTACTAATTATTATTATAATTAGACCTGGGTAGCAGGGAAAAAATCATGTCATTCTAAAAGCAAATTAGCAACCTGGTACCCGCCAGTTTGTGGGCTTTCTGACCTTTTGCTACTCCCTTAAGGTGTGTCTCGAGGAAAGATATACCCAGAGATCTGTCTTTTCCATAACTGATTCCAGAGTCTGAATGGGACTCTGGCCTGGGAGGTTCTCCCACTAAGTTACTTCTCTTACAGATCAGACTCCTACACCTAGCGAAGGGCTGAACCGGATATTCAAAGGTGAAGGTAGTTTCCCCCAAGTGTTTCTGTTGAAATCTCTCCTTAAGAAATCAGCAAAAACGGATCTTTTCCTTCCTTCTGAGGTACATGTTTCTATAAAGTCAGCTGACATTTTCATGCTATTAATTCACTGCATTATAATCCCTTCTTCAGACACTCAGCGGCTGTGCCCCCAACCAAGTTTCCCAAAACTGAACCAACCAAACACACCAGCAAGCTCAGGATTCCTGTTCTGTGTCACCTCTACACTCCACAGGGGAACCCAGTCCTCTTTATCTCCTGGTATCATACTGCTGAAGTGACCGCTGCCCAGAGAGCCTGAGGAGGTGGTAAAGGAGGCCTCCGCTCTGGTGGTAAAATATAGCCTTGCTAGTTATGAACCCACCTGTCTGAGGTGCAGATTCTGGACTCAGCAGTATCAGCACTGCTGAGTATCAATAGAACTG